TGGGCTCCGAGCGCGGGAGCGAGTCCATTGGGGTCTCCGAGGAGGGGAGCCCGCCGCGGTCGGAGCCTCCGCTAGGCTGCGCTCGAGCCCTTTGCTGAAGGCGGCGCCCCTGTCCTGCGCGGTGGGCTCGTCCAGGCGGGAGAGGCTTTTTATTTTTTTCTTCCCGGGCTGGAGGGCTCCGGTGCTCATTGCGCTCTTGATTTTTCTACCGTTAGCCGCCATGCCCTGCTCGGAAGACGCGGCCGTTGGCTCGGTCAGCAAGCGGGCTCGGGCCGAGGATGGCTCTTCTCTGCGCTTCGTGCGCCTCTCCGAGCACGCAACGGCTCCCACCCGCGGGTCCGCGCGCGCTGCGGGCTACGACCTGTACAGGTGAGAGCCACGGCCAGGTGGCAGGATTGCAAACCCCGACCCTCGGTGCAGCCGTGGCTCCACCGCGGTCTCGCGGAAACTTTTAAGAGTTCTACTTAAGCAAACCCTGTAGAGGTTTGGGCGAGGGGAACGTAAACGGCTGACATAGCCAAAGCATTGCTCTGCAGCGCGCCCGCCACCCTTTGCAAGGGGAAGGTCCGGTGAGCGCGGCTTATTCTTGACAGAGGTGACGGTCTGCGGTGTGCACGTTAGAAAAGCTACGTGGGAGTCTAGGAAAAGGATCCCTGGACGCTGTTTACATTTCTATACGGCCATGCCGTCCAAAGACTGGGAACTTAAGAAAGGGGGACCCCCCAAGCCGGAGTGACGGCTCAGGGGGCAGAGCTCCCGACCGCTCCGCCCGAGGACCCGAGTTCGATTCCCGGCCCGGCACCGCGTGTAGTTCCGTGACCGTCAGTCAGCGCCGCCCGGCGGCCTGCAGAACGACCCACACACAGTCTCCCACCGTCCACCGTAGATCCGCGTAGAGAACTAGGCAAAAAACAAAAAAAAAAGAAAAAAAGGTAAAGGGGGACCCCAGGCTAGGCTCAGCAGTATAAGCACTTGTCGATGGTCGTCAAGCCTCATGACCCGTGTGTATGCATCTAGCACGGCGAGTCTTTGGAGAGATATTAGATACTTTGCACATCTTGTTAGTAAGCTGGGGTCCTCTCACATCCCACGTGAAAGGAATGGAGCTATCACAGTTGGTTCTCCAGACTGAATTAAGGCCTCCCGAGTAACTTCCAGTGCCGCTCTTTGTAGTCTCTGACGTTTTTAACAGGAAGGGAGCGCGGCCTTTCCTAGGTGCACCTTCGGAAATGGGTTTTAATCCGTGTCCATCCCCAGTGGCTCCTGGGGATGAACACCCAAAATTGGGTGGCCAATTTTCTCCTCAGCCACCGAAGTTCACAGCCACAGCTTGGGAGGTTTGTTGATCCACCTGGCTAAGAAGGAATGCCGCGCATCTCGGCGTCCCACCAGTGATTTGTCTTACCCCTTTCCTCTGCAGGTTCACCCTCACTCAGGAGAATCATGTGTTAGCAGGTTAGAACTGTGCCTGGCATGGAGTGAGGGCCTAGTCAGTGTTAGCTGCTGTTTGCCAGTTTCTTGGCTTTTCATTTTCTTTCCATAAAGTTTGTGAATTCAGTCTACCTTTCGGCTCCCCGTGCTAATACCCAGCCATTGCTTTCAGAGCCGAGAACGCGCAGCTGTGACAGTGTTGGCATCTGCTCGGTCCACTGTTACATTCAGAGAACTGTTAGCTAAGCTGTGAGCCCGTATTTCTCTCCCACCCCCAGCCAGGATCTTACTGTGGAGTTCTGGCTAGCCTGGGGCTCACCAAGATCTCTCTACCTGAGCGCTAGGGTTAAAGGCGTGTGCCACCACCTCCAGCCTAAAGCCGTCTTTAAAGCTAAAAGAAAAACTACCTTCTAAAGAAACGTTTTAGATGAGTTAGGAATTTGTCAATATTGTTTATAGGATCTAAGTTTATATGAAGTAATGACGTAGCTATACATTTTATATGCATTATCACAGCAAAGAATGTTAAAAACAGTTTAATAAAGGGGTGGTGGTGGTGGCATATCCCTTTAATTCCATCACTTGGGAGGTAGAGGCAGGAGGATCTCTTGAGTTCAAGGCCAAGATCTCAATTGTTTAATAAATACTTTATTAAAAGATCTCTTGAGTTTAATAAATACTTTATTTAATTGTCTTTTTAGTGCCTACGATTATACAATAGCACCCATGGAGAAAGCTGTTGTGAAAACAGACATTCAGATCGCTATTCCTTCTGGGTGCTATGGAAGAGTAGGTAAGTGGTTTAAGAAACAGGTAACTGACATCTTAGTGTCATGTGGGCACACAGTGGAGAGCTGATGCAAGCTTGGGCAGTGTCCATCTGGCCACACACTTGGATTCACATGTCTGCGTTCCTTTCTCTTTGCATTTTTACTTCAAATATCTTCTTGAGTTTATAGAGTTGTTACACTGACCCAATTGTTGGTTCTTAAAATGGAAAACATGGGTGGTTTGTAATTGGAGCTTTTTCTAGTAGTGTTGTAACTTTGCAAAAGTTAGTCGGCATAGGAGGTCACATTCTTTGTAAATATAGTGATAAGCGGGACTAGTATTTGTGTAAGAAAGTGGGGTCTTATGATGGCTTTGGCATTTTATATTGTGGGAGAGAGGCCTGAACCCACTGAGCCTTGTCTTGCTCCAGGCCCTAGAGATTAGAGCGAGGGGCACTTGTGTTGTACCGTTACTACTGAGAAGACATGGACTGAGTTTCTGGGGCGTGCCACTTGTCTGGAGACAACGGCTTTTAGATAAGAGACCTGGACTAATACGGTTGTCACACATGCGTGGAGCCTCTAGTAGTACTTTGCTCCTTAAAAGGAGGAAAATGGGTTCTGCTGGTTTGTAGTGTCGCTGACTACACTTTGAAGGTCCCAGCACTGGAAAGAACTGAGTCCACAAAGTTGCCTTCTGACCTACATGCGTGCATGCGCACACACACACACACACACACACACACACACACACCATACACGGTCATAATAAGTATATATAATTTAAAAACTAGTCAGAAGGCTTCAGATTGAGCTGTACTTGCTCACTTTCCGATCCATCTCAGCAACCCATTGCTCCCTTCGGTACTACAACCAGCCATGTGACTGTGCTTTGGGTTTGTTTTGAATTAAAACAGTATTGAATTTTTCTAAACTATCCTTTTCCAGCTTTGGTAGTATAGTATATGGTAAAAGTGTTCTTTAAGAATGATCTGCTGACATTAAGGTGAAAATAAACACCTTAGAGGAGACCATGGTACTTTAAGTTATATCAAAAATAGTGTATCTATTTCCCCTTACCATTTAAAATGACCACTGTTTTTCAATTTTGTTTTCAGCTCCACGGTCTGGCTTGGCAGTAAAGCACTTCATAGATGTAGGAGGTAACATTTATTTCTTTATTCTATGAGATTTTGTAGTATCCTTGCCTCTAGGAATCTCTAAGTCTGAATAGGCATTAATGCTATGGTTTCAGATACTATTTGATAATGTAATTTCTACTGATCATATATGAAATGCATGTTGTCTTACTAATAACAGGCACTGTCTAACAAAGGGTTTTGCCTTGCTGGACTGATAATCTGTATTTAGTACAAAGATGAGGAAAACCTTTTGTGTGGTTATTTGCTGAACTATTTATTTAGCAAAAGGTTCTAGTTGGACAGCTCTAACTTGTAAGAATTTTCTTAGCTTTGAAAGAAAAGCCATACTTGTTTTGCAAAATGTAGCAAGGTTCTTTGCCCCACAGTACCAAGACTAACTGGTGCTTTTCTCCGTTTCTGGAAAGTGGCACCTGTTTCTCTTGTCACCTTTGGGCAGAGTCGCCTTGTAGCTACAGGGTTTCTAACCGTGCCTCTGTATGTAAAGAATCTTCACTGTCCTGACAGGATTCTTGTGTGTGTGTTCATTTAGTATATGTGAGCATTCTGCCTTTGTGTATACATGTGCAGTGTGCATGCCTGGGTCTTTGGGGGACCAGAAGAGGACCTCATCCCCTGGACCTGGTGTTACAGGAGGTTGTGAGCTGCCTTGAGGGTTCCGTCAGCTGAACCTAGGATCCTCTCCAAGAGCAACAAGTGCTTTTAATTGCTGAGCCGTCTTTGTCGGCACTCCTGAAAGAATGGTGTTTCCGAGCTCTTATTAGGGCACATAACTTCACTGCTGTGGCGGCGCCAGACCCTTGACCTTCCTTTGCCTTCATCCAGTATTTTTGACTGCAGAAACACTGGCCTTCAGATACCTGGGTGTGCTAGATTGTCTTGCGGCCATTTTTACAGAACTGTGTCAAGCAGGGTTTTTTTGTTTGTTTGTTTGTTTGTTTTTAAACGAGAAAATTGGCTTAGCATTGTGTTTCTAATACCACTGTCCTCAGCAGTAGGATCAAAACTGCCCATCCCCTACTGTCCTGTCCTTACTGTTCTGTGCCAGTGTGGGTGTGGGTTGCTTAAGCAGGATGAAGGGCTCCTTGCCCGGACTTGTCTACCCGCAGGCCTCCTGTTTTGGAAAGTACTGGTGTCTCCCATGGTGGCACTAGGTGGCAGTGTGGGGCAAGGCAGATTCCCCAAAACAGTTTTCTGTAGTGTGTAGCCTTAAGGTTGGTATTTACAGTTCTCTCTTGGATTGAGAATTCCCGGGGCTTAGTGAGTTACATTTAATTTTCAGAAATACTTTTTGCAGACTGGAGAGATGGCTCAGTAGTTAAGAGCACTGGCTGCTCTTCCAAAGGAGCTGGGTTCAATTCTGAGCACCGCATAGCAGCTCACAACTGTCTGTAACTCTTATGGCCTCCTCAGGGACAGAGTGCATGTGGTGCATAGACAAATACGCAGGCAAAGCACCCATACACATAAAATAAAAAATTTTAAAACTTTCCTAATTCAAATATAGCTACTTGGGATATACAAATTATCTAACTTAAAGTTATAAAAGGTTTTGTATATTTTTATTGAAACTTCAAAGGGTTTTGAAAGGGACTATACTCATTTGCATAAGGGCATTTAGTGTGCCTGCCTCTGAGGGGTACGAGAGCTAAGTTATGCCTGTGAAGCAGCCAATAGTGTTTGGCACATACTTTAATTCAAGTTAACAGTTCTGTCTCCTAAGGACGTAGCAGATTTTTATGTGGAAACTTCTTTTTCCCCTCCAACCTTGTTTCTAAATTTTGCTCTGCTTAAACCAACTGTCTGGGGGAACATCATGTAGTTGGAAGGTTAGTTTGCCTGGTGGTTGGTGTGAGGTTATTCATAAAATCACACTGTGGTATGTTCTTGGATGCAGAATATCTAAGGAATGTTTTTTAGGTACAAGTTTATCATAGTTGGCCACTGAAGGGAGATGCTGTTAGAAGCCTCAGACTGGGAAGAAGGGTCAAAAGGAAAAGTTGACTCTGCAGGACTGTGTTCTGAATTCACAGCTGGTAGGTGTGGAGCGTTTTCACTAACGTTTCCAACAGTGACATGCCAGAGTCTTGACACAGAAAACCTTGCCTGAAGTCGGTTACCGACTGACAGTTCCAGTGCCTGGTTTTCCCAGTGATAACTTTCCAAGATACTCAGTGCATATTCACGAAGAGATTATTAGAATGCACTGATCTTCACGCAGAGATTACACACAGGGTTCCCCATCTTCAGAGATTATGCACAGTGTTCACCTAATAAAGTACAACCAAAAGATTTGGAAGTCAGTCTGGGTTATTTTACACAGGCTCGTTTATAATCAGTATGCTTATTAGGCTGTGCCTCAAAGGTCTTCCACAGTGGAAATTCTCCAGCCTTCTGTGGTCTTTCGTTCCAGCGTGGGACAGCGCAGACTTATCCTGGGAGTTTCCTTGTGAAGTGGGAGCTGCATTATTCCTGCAGCTAACCTTCCTCCAAAGAGTATGAAAACAGCTGGCCCAATCTTTCTATCAGTTCTTTTCTTAAGTATTGAAGAGTAATAAACTGATAATAAAGGAAACCTTATATAAAATTTGGATTGGTGAAAGGTTTGTTGCTATTCTAGTGGAGACGAAGGGCTGTTAGCCACATTATCTGTCCGGCTCCGGGATGGCTGGGGGCAGTTGCGAGGCCTGTGTCTTCTGGGCTGTGGCAAGGACCTAGCTCAGGTTTCTTGTAAGGATCCATTTAATTTTGTAATATCAAACATGTACTAATTAGATATTTAAAAATAATCTTGGGCCAGCAAGATGGTGTAAAGATCCCCACTGTCATGCCAGGTGACTGGAGTTCACACGCTCATGGTGGCTGGGAGGAACTGACTCCCATAGTTGCCCTCTGACCTCCACTCATGCTGTTGCAACAACAGCAAAATTTTTAAGAGAACTCATTAAGCTTACCAGCCAGTGTTAACTGAACCCTCGTGGTTTTGAAAAGGATAGTGGTTTGAATAGAAAGGGAAATATCACAGCAGTCCTGCCCCATTTTCTTGTGCAGGTGGACCGTTCTAGTAGCTGCAAGACCGCCACGCAGCATGTCACCACTGACGTTTCCCCTGCAGGTTGCTGGACTCGGAGTGTCGCTTCTCTGCTTTAACCAATGAGAGCAGTTAGCAGAGAAGACTTCGAAAGCCTAGATCTTTTTCTCCTAGTCTTTTCAGCATGTCAACTGGGAAGTCGCCCGGGAAGTTGGAGAGGATGTTGGCTCCACACAGTTTGGAGTACAAGCCGCTCACCACTTGATAAGCATTCAGGACGGAACATTGGAACATGTTTTTCAAATGCTTGCTTTTTAGTCATATCATTTGTTTTCAGATTGCAGGACCAAAGTGAGAGTCACTTTGTCAGGCGTAAGAAGACGACTCTGAGGAAGTCTTTGGAAAAGTAGTTTTGAGAGAATCTAAGACACCTGCTGTTCTGGTGGCATAAATCAAAAATAACTATTCTAAAATTATTTTAAATTTTATTTAAATTAATCTAAATTATTCCTTCAGCCGGTGTCATAGACGAAGATTATAGAGGAAATGTTGGTGTTGTGCTGTTTAACTTTGGAAAAGAGAAGTTTGAAGGTGAGTTTAATATGTGGAAAATTTTGAGTTACCCGTGTTAGTAAAACTGACCCCAGTTCTCATTGAATAAGACAGGATAGCAAATACATCAATAAATATCAATAGTAATCTGTGTTTTTATTTTTCTTTCCTTTTTTAAGTAAAAAAAGGTGATCGGATTGCACAGCTCATTTGTGAACAGATTTTTTATCCAGACTTAGAAGAAGTTGAAGTAAGTGCAAATGCTGAGTGGAGAATGAATGGCGTCTCCAAGTGGAGAGGAGGGGTGTTTGGGAGTGTGCTGTGTGTAGCTAAGCAGTGTGCATGACCCA